ATTTCGCTCAGTTACAATTTTAGACAGGCGCTACTAGTAATACTTTTTTTTTTTTATTTCTTTTTCTTTTTAAAATATGGACTTGGACATATGTGTGTCGGAAATAAAGTAACGTTCTGTTGAAACTTCTCTGGAAACAATATGCGCCGCTAGATGGAGACAAATAGCAACAGTAGACACCCACAAAAAAACAGTTAATACAGATAATACAAAAACAGTCCAAATATGCAGCAGATTTTGATTGCGTCACCATCTGTATAGGTGTGAAACATTTTAGTAATAATAGTAATAGTGATGATAATAATAATAATAATAACAATTATTATTTTTATTATTACAATTAGGCTATTGCCGGACTACATGTTGGTTCTCAAATGATTTCTATTCGACCATCCTAAAAATAATAAATCATAATGATAATTTGAACATATAGGCTATATTTGTATTATTATTGACACTTATTAAGATCTTATTATATGTTTAGTATTAGTAACACTTACTACGATATTATAATTATTATTATTACTTATTTCTTGAATTATTTTATATGATAGATATAGCACTGTTGGTTCCTACTCAAATTATTTCTAGTCGACCATCCTAAAAAATAATAAACCATATTGATAATTTTAATATATGTTTTATTTATTATTAACGCATTATTATTTAATTATTACTATTATAAAGATCTCCTACATGTGTATTATTATTATTATTATTATTAAAACTACGATATTATAATATAGCCTATGTTTAATGTAGGCTAATGTAGAGTTACTGTTGGTTAATAAATAATATTAATTATGATAATGGAGGATGTTCGAAAAAAATATCAGAAAAAAAGACATTCATGTGAGTATGAAAACAAAACCATCAGCCTCCATGTAGATGATCATAATCATCATCCCCGACCCCGTGGCCCCTCTCACATTATTGGTTTGGCGGGCGTTGTTTGCTGGTCTCTCCCCATGTCTTCAGCGCTCCTCTCCTCCCCACCCCCTCTTTGTTGTTTCTCTCCTCCAGCCTCTGCTGTGCGCGCGCGCACACACTCCCTGGGATCAGCTGCGCGCTCGCAGTATCCGTGCACGTCCCTTCCCCCCGCGGCCTGGCTGCTGATGAGATGAGTGGAAGATGTCGGTGTCGGGGCTCAAGGCCGAATTAAAGTTCCTGGAGTCAATCTTTGATCCAAACCATGAGCGATTCAGAATAATCGACTGGAAGCCCGATGAACTGAGCTGCCAGTTTAATGTGACAGGAGAAAAGCTGCTGATTATTCACTGCAACATCACGGTAAGATTCATCAGCCTTGTGTAGCTTACATGCGAACAAGACAAGGCCGAGTGAAATAACATGACCACAACCCCCATTTGACTCGATTAAAGCCATCATAATGTGAATAAAAGCATTTAGACCGACCAGGATCGAATACATATCCCCAAACGGATGTCAAAATAGCAGATAAACAAATACACACTCCTAGACCGAGCTACATTTAGCCTGCTAGTTGATTAGCTAACAAAGTTAACTGCGTTGGATCTCGCTTTAACTGTGTTAGCTAAACAAACTCGTCAACTGATATTCAGGCTTATTTGATCACATCAAACACGAGTTAGTTAAATAAAACGGGTAAGTTAGTCGTTTTATTCCGCGTCGGTGTGGATTTTGTAAGTTCGTTAGCAGGTGATTCGCTTGTGTGCTAATTTAGCAAAATGATACATTAGCTAGCTAAACGACGTTTTGGACAAAATGTTTTTTTGTTTGTCGTTGTTGTCTTTCTAAACCGAGTCTTAGATGCTATGTTTGAATATACATGTTGTAACAAAACCACATATTTTGTGTAAACAGTTAGTTACAATGTTTGCAATCTAGTTTAGCAATTAATTAGCTGTTTTGTCGAAGTTGTTCATTTAGCGAGGCCTGTTAAGAAATGCGTAGATTTAAAATGATCCAACTCTATATTCAGTTAAATCTATCGTTATTTTGTTGCAATATAATTGTTAACTTAATTCCTCATTGCTATCATGATTACTAATGGTGTGTGTGCTAGCGATATTAGCGCATTTCCGAACTTAATAATTTGAGGGATTCCCGATATTTTCACGGCTTTTTAACCTAGAGGACACGATGTTGAGTGAATATTAAGTCTACTAGTTTATCAAGAGGTGTTATCTATCCATGAAAACGCGCTGCAACGCTACTGCAGTGCAACTGGCTGCCGTTTTGGTGTTATTGAGGTCAGTTAGTTCGCTGAGTTTATATTTTGGTCTGTGTGGTGCTGTAAGGCCAGTGTGTGTGGTCCTGACAAGCAGAAGCAAATCACGTCGCCATCCTTTTGACCCTCCAATGATGGGAGGAGATTTCTTAGTAGTGATGGGAACATAATGTTCACATGATTTTCATGGACCACAGGAACATCAGCTCTGACTCACAGGTCTGCTGTTGTCTTTTGGATGTTCATTTAGACGAGTTTGATTCATTGGTTTGGCAGCTGTTGATATGGCTTCTTATGCAAGTGGCTGAATGGATCCGATCAGACTTCAGTAACCTTGTGAAAGGACAAAGGGTTTGGATGCAATTAGTAAGATGCTGATGTTGTAACTCTTGATATTTTTGTAGGAGTCTTACCCTTCAACGCCACCAATATGGTTCGTTGATTCCGATGACCCAAGTCTGACAGAAGTCCTTGAACGGCTAGAGGATGTCAGGAGAGGCAATACTTTGGTAAGGAGGTGTTTCTGCTATCTGAGATTTCAATGAGATGTGATCATCAAAGTCACTGTACATTACTGTTCAAAAGTTGGTAGTCAGCAGATTTTGTTTAAAGAAATAATTAAGTAAAAATGCTTTAAATTGATCAGTAACGTGACAGAAAGACTTCTACAAATATCTTAATCCTGAAAGACAAATGTTTCAGGTGTCCACAAAAATATTAAAGTCCCCATGAAGTTTTTGGGCTTTTAGTATGAATATGTTAGCCTTAATGTCATCTGTAATCTAGTGTCCTCCGAAACAATGACAAAATTCACATTTATAAGAAATAAGTGAGTCTCTCACTTCCGCCAATATAGATAAAAAAAAATTGATGACATCACTCTGATTTTCTGTCCAATCAAATGCTCTGTAGAATCTGAACAGCCCTGCCCCCTGAACCATAAATAGATGCCGAAGCTGTTGCTGAAATTGATCACTTATTCACACAATTATTATTTTCTATATGGCAAATAGCACATTAAGCACTATATAGTGGATTAGAAATTATTCAAACAGTGCAAATATGCTTTCCACAGTCGTCTCTGGTCCAGAGTCACGATAGCACTGAGTATACGCAAGTTGCTGCAGACCAGAAAACATATATTAGACCCATCTGAATTTGGCACAGAATGCTATATTTTAAAGCTATATGGTGGAGAAACAGTTCGGCATTAGAAACAGCATAGCCAAATTGTAGAGATGTACCAACATAAATTACACACTTTTCAAACACATCCTCAGCATGATTATGTTTACGGTTTTGGTTACATATTAAATCTGAAAGGGAAATTTTATATTTTAGGGAAAGATATTGTCTTCCTGTTTCAGTGGAAATTATGTCAATGCTGTGCATTTCAAAGCACTTCTGTGGGCTTTAGGTAGCACAGCTGTTTTAAACATTTATAATAAAAAAGTTTTCACCAAATCAGCATATTAGAATGATTTCTGAAGGTTTATGTGACACTGAAGACTGGAGTTAATGATGCTGAAAATTCAGCTTTGCATCACAGGAATATATCTCATTTTAAATTATGGAAAGAAAATAAAACGCTGACTTAAATTGTAATAATATTTCACAATATTATTGTAAATCAAATAAATGTAGCATGTGAGACTTCCTTCAAAAAACATTAAAATAAATCTTAAATCTATTAAAATTGATTATTTTCTATTCTAATTTTATTTTCAAACTGTTATTTTCACATCTTTGTCCAGATCTATTAATTTATTCCAAAAATACATGAAACATGCAATTCATACACACAGTGCAGCCCTAATCCATAATGAACCTAAATCCACATGATGGTCGGTCAAGATGAGACCGTTTTCTTTATTTGAACACACATTTGCTAGCATTTTTTTTGTTTTTTTTGTGACCCAATGCATTATTATAGATTTGCAGTTTTATATTAGTTAGTTTTTCTCTAATAAAGTTCCTCACCAGCTGTTATCCTTTTTTCTTATGCAGCTCCTACAGCAGCTGAAAAGGCTGATCTGTGATTTATGCCGACTCTATAACCTACCCCAGCATCCTGATGTGGAGATGCTGGATCAGCCTCTTCCTGCTGGACCCATCAGTCAAGACAAGAAGGTTGCCCAAATCAGACCTACATAGCCTTCTTACACTCCTTCCTTTTCCCCTGTTTTTAAGGTGTGTTTGTGCTGATGTAAACTTTGTTTCATGTTCTTGTTGTTTCCAGCATGGAACAACTGATGAAGTGACATCAGAAGAGGAGGAGGAAGAGGAAATGCCAGAGGTATTAAGCTTTGGGGGATGCAAAGGCTTCTTTATGATTCCAGTTATGACGAAAAGACTAGATGACACCTAACACGTTCTTTTGTTTGTTGCTGTGGCAGCAGGATATTGAAGATCTAGACCACTATGACATGAAAGAGGAACCGGTCGATGGGAAAAAGTCGGAGGACGATGGCATCGAGAAGGAGAATCTGGCAATTCTGGAGAAAATCCGAAAGAACCAGAGGCAGGACCACTTGAACGTAAGTGTCCATTCGGTAAGGTACCCTTTTTATTTAACTTTGGGGTTGGGTGGAGCAGTTAAAAAAGCAGCTTTTTTGATTGATGCA